AATGCAGAATGAAAAAAAAATTGCCTGAAGTGGGGATGGAAAACATTTGTTTAGTTACGGAACATCATTTATCAGTGATGATTGAAAAACAATTGTGGGGCACACAGTAGATAGAGCACTGGCCCTGGAGTCAAAAGGACCTGAGTTGAAATCCAGCCTGAGACATTTACTAACTATGTGACCTTGGGCAAGTCACTTTACCTTGGTTGCCTAAAAAAGAAAAGAAAAGAAAAGAAAAGGAAAAAATTGTGACTAGATCCTATGCCAAACGGAGGGAAATTTTCTGTCCTCTGCCCCTATATCACGTGTACAGATAAACTAAATAGAGGCAACATCAAGAAAAAGACAAAACCATCAGTGAAAGGTCATTCCTAACTATCTCTGCAGCCAATTGCAATTTCAACAGTAATAAGACAAAAGAACCCATTCTGCCTGAGAACAGGGTAGATAACAAAATTATCAGAGAGAGTGACCCAAACCACAAGAATCAGGGTACGCTTCTAGAATTCCCTTTAATGTAATACCACACAGGCTATTCCCCAAATCCAAGGAAGAAAAAAAAGAACTCTGTGCTTAGCACAAAAAGTCTATTTTATAAATCCAACAAGTACTATGAATGTTCCAGAATGAAACCTCATGTTTGTATCTGAGATAATTATTCATGATAATATAGACATTAACTTCTGCCCTTTGATGGAAGTAGGGTCAGGCTTTGAGCTTCATAAATAGGTGAGTTACCTGTGTGATCTCAGTGATACAGGGAGCTTTCTCTTTTACCACGTGCTACACATTTCTTGAATTTCCTCTATTATAGTTATTTCCTTTGAATGAAAGTTTCTTTGCTGAAAAGGAAAGCAAACTCTGAGAGAGGTGACACATGAAGGTACAATTTTCAGGCCTGGAGAGTCTAACTTACTGAGAGGAAGGGCATAATGTTGGAGGCAGAAGGAAGGGTAATGCTTGGCAGAGAAGAAAGAATTGTTTAAGGCAGCACAGAGGGCCCTAGGAGTCAAAGGAGGGAATTTGTCAGGAAGACAAAGTCAGAGACAAGTTTCTACTGGGCCACAATTCTGGCTCCAGAAGTCAATCTATGTGGAATCTATAAAACCTAAGCAAAGGAGGAATTGCTTCTCCAATAATCATATGTCCCAGAATCCAAGAGCATTGTTCCAGTCTTTGTTGGTGTCTACAACACTGGATTCTGCACAGTGTGAACTGGTCATTCTGGAATACAGAATCCTCACTTCTCAAGACCCAGAAGAAATCCCCTTAGTGTTCTTTGTAGGGAATATTTTACAGCAACCAAGCAAAATCCATTTCCACAACTAATTGGGTTCTCTTAAGGAAGCCTAATACAGGGGAGCATGGAGGAAAATAGAATGAAGATGGGAAATATTTGTATGGCTTCTGAATAGAATTAACTTGTGATTACTTAGAAACAACTGGGACCAGATCCTGATAAAAAGTAAGCTGGATTGCCTGTCCTTTGACCTTAGAATCACAGGGACAGAGTGAGCAGACAGAGAAGTCATCTACAAAGATGCAAAGTATCATTGGCGAAAGGTGATGCTGGACAATGGTTATTTCTGATTACAATGTTCCACTGAGATGGAGCAAATGACCTGTTGTTGTCTGAAATGAAGCTAGAATATACAATGATCACAACAAGGATCCTGAAATACAGGGGAAACCCTATTAGGAACCTCATTATAACACAAAAGCTGCTAACTGTAAGTAGGATTAGAGAGAATTCTAGTTTTCCCTCTCCAATATCCAGAGCCTTTGTGGAAATAAACCCACCTCAACCTTCCTGCCCAACAGAACTAAAGATACACAGATATATGCTTCCTCTATGACTAGTCATGTCTCTGAACAGGGCCTCCATCATTGTACATAGAAACTGGTTAACATAGTTACCTTAAAAAATAGGAAAAGGGACAGCAGGGGAGTAATGTCAATTAACCCATATTCTCTACTCAGATCAATCTTCTGCAGAAACAAAGTAAATAACAGTCTTCACGGTAGAGTTATATATTCATTACTTCCATTTTCAAAAACTCTAATGCCACTTCTAAATAATAATAATAATATATTACCATCTAAAACCTATACTATTCTTTAGAAGGGGCTATTATCAGCTATTTATTACTTAGTGTGGATTCCTTTATTAGATTTTCTGTTACTTCATTGCAGAAAGAAGTAATTAAATAGGGAGTCCAGTGCTGGGATGTAGTGGAGGTGCTAGGTAGAGGGAAAAGGGAAAAAGCATTAGGAGACAGGCAAGTTTTTGTAATTGGAATTTTTCTTAAGCTCAATCTTCCCATCTGTTCTTTGAAAGGTCTCACAGATAAAAAGAACAGAGCACATCCAGGAAGTACAAAAGAGAGCAGCTGATGTGCTAAGACAATAGAGTTGCTGTTTAGTCATGTCCAACTCTTTAGGACTCAATTGACCATACTGTCAATGGGATTCTCTTATAAAAGAAACTGGAATGATTTGCCATTTCCTTCCCTAGTGGATCCTTTTGTCAAGAAAGCAGAGGTTAAATGACTTGTCCAGGGTCACCCACCTAGGAAGAGGCTGAGGTTGGATTTGAACTCAATTCTTTCTGACTCCAGGCCCAGCCCTCTATCCACTGAGCCATCAACTGCTTCTAAGGTAAGAGAGAATCATGTAGAAAAGTTGGTTCACAATCAAAGTAGCATGGCAATTGGACAAGAAGCCAAAAAAAAAAAGTGTTAGGGCTGAGAATTTATGGTTGTGGGTGGAAATGAAATAGCCTTACAGTGGTCCAGGGAGAGTAATTTTCTTTTACCCAAAGTAAGTTGGAGAAAAGATGTCAAGGAAACCACTTGAATGTTTGTGGAGGTCTTATAATTCTAATTGGGTGCAGAGAGATGCCTTCTCCCAGAGACTAATTTAAAATGAATGACTTTAGGGCAAATGGACCTGTGCCCTTGGATGTCCTCATCTGGGAAGGGGGTGGGGGGAGCAGGTGTGGGGACCTCCTCCCTAGGAGATTGTGCTTCCTCCCTGCACAGTTACTGTTCCCCCATATCACCTAGACCTCCTCCAGCAACATCTTGTGCAACTGCGCCCCCCTCCTTCCTGGGTGCTATTATCGTTGTCCATCTCTCTTAAGTGTTTGTCCCTCCCCTACCCTGGAATGACCTAATTCCCAAAGCAGTTAATGATTTAATTTTCTATAGGGAGACATTTCCCTCCTTTCACACAAGCACTTGTGGTAAGACTATCCTCGGCTACACCACCACCCTTTTCAATAAGAAATTTGCTTCAGATACCATAATGGTTCTACTTCCTATTATGGATATAGAGCACTGATTTCCTCTGAGTGTGCCTGCTAGTCTGGGACTGCAAGGCAGTGTCTTGGTAAAGTATTTTTTGAGAGGACATGCAGTCAGAAAGAATAGAATGGAACTAGGAGATCAGTGCTTCTAGATCTCAGATATGGCAGCAATGAGCATGGATGCAGGATAGTACATGGCAGGCTCAGTCAGGTGGAGATGGCTTCAGCTAGAGACTCTTAATGGGCTTCAGCTCCTTTACCTACATGTCCCTAAAGGATATTGAGATGAGGAGAAAATATTTGTTGGGACTGGTGGACACTGATACTTTCCACTAAGACTTCAAACTAAACATCTATTGTTGCTCCAAGTCCCAACCCTGATTTCTCTTTCCATCACCTCCCCACCCCCAACAATCTCAGCTTTGCCTTGGTTATAATAGATAAACCCTGGAAAAATAAGATGTCTGTGATTTTAGGTTTAGGGCACTGTCTCCTTAAGAAAAGATAAAGCCTGCTCAAGGAGAAGTCACAAGGACCTAGAGCAATGCAAAGGATGTGTGTTCTGGTTGTATAGAAGTCTGGTTTTATGATAGAGAAAAGATCCCAGAGGTGGTTGAAGGTGAAAAGAAGAAACTGGGCTTTTAGAACAGGTAAACAAATGCACAGAAGTTCCCAAGGAACCAGTTAGTTAAGTTCAAAGAGTGAACAGTATGCAAATATATAATACTAAGAACCATTTCTTCTTTTAAACCAACAGTTCACAAGATAAAAATTGAAAACTATCAATAACCATTAAAATGCTATAAAACATTAAATAAAAAAATTCAAATGAAAACACTCATTAAAATGCCGAGATATTACCTCACTCTTCTCACATATTGGCACAGGTCAAAAATAGATGAGATTATACAATTTGAAAGGCATCTGGAAAAATTAGCATGCTAATGTACAATTGCTAGAAGTAATGATGGGTCAAAATGATCCATAAAACAATTTGAAATTTTCTGTGAAATGTGATGAAATGTCTCAAACTCTGTGCTGGTAATCTTACCAATGAGTATATGTTTAAGAATGTCAAAGACAGAAAGAGGCACCACATACATTGCAAGAGATTGTGGTTCTTTCTGTAGTTGAAACAAAGTGAGTGTCTAGCAGTTGGGGAATGGCTGAAAACTTAGGTATGTGAATAGAAGTGTATTTGACATATACTTTCATAGATGGTCACTGTGTCGGTCTTAACTTTTTTTTTTTCTAGATCAGAAAGGGAGTCAGGGAAGGAGGCTATGTAGAAATGAGTATGTGGGGAACAAAAGGAATCAGCATAATCTTTTTAGATAACAAAAAGTAAAGTTGATTTGGAAGGAATGGGGTAGAGACAAGGAACTGGGGGAAAAAGACAAAAATATATTTGGGATGAAAGTCTTTACAACAATGTCATACCTAGTAGCTGATACACAGCTAAAAGCTATTGAGGATAACATAATATTGGCAAGATTTTTTTAAGGCAGTGAAAGAAAAAGATCCCAAGAGTGATTTCTAAGTATGCATATCCAAATTGTGCTGCTAACTTATTTTATCCTAGCTCTTCTCAGCTTAAATGTCTGTCTCTCTGTCTTTGTCTATCTGTCTGTTTGTCTCTCTCTCTCTTTCTGTCTCTTTCTCTTACAGATCCATTGAAAGACAGAGATCAGAAATGAGAAACTATACAGGGATAACATTATTTATTCTCAGGGGATTGACGGATAACCCACAGCTGAAAGTTCTACTTTTTATCTTTCTGTTTCTAACCTATATGTTGAGTGTAACTGGGAACTTGACCATCATCACCCTCACTTTGGTGGATCCCCACCTTAAAACTCCCATGTATTTTTTCCTTAGAAATTATTCCTTCCTAGAATTGTCATTCACAACTGTCTGTATTCCCAGATTCTTGTACAACATGTCAATTGGTGACTATACTGTGTCCTATAATGCATGTTTCACTCAATTATTTTTTGGTATCCTCCTTGGGGCCTCAGAATTTTTCCTTTTGGCTGCCATGTCTTATGACTGCTATGTAGCCATGTGCAAACCCCTGCATTACGCAACCATCATAAATAACAGAATTTGTAACCAGCTCCTCCTGGGTTGTTGGCTATCCGGGTTGATGATCATTCTTCCACCACTTGGCATGGGTCTTGAGCTAGAATTCTGCGACTCCAATATTATTGACCATTTTGTCTGTGATGCATCACCATTGCTGGAGATCACATGCTCTGATACACAGCTCCTAGAAAGAATGATTTTAGTCTCTGCTGTTTTGACACTCATCATCACCTTAATGTTAGTGGTTCTATCTTATGCCTATATTGCCAGGACTATTCTGAGATTCCCCTCTGCCCAGCAAAGGAAAAAAGCCTTTTCCACTTGTTCCTCTCACATGATTGTTATCTCCATGACTTATGGAACCTGTATCTTCGTCTATATCAAACCTTCTGCAAAAGAAGGGGTGGCTTTGAATAAGGTGGTGACAGTACTTGCAACCTCAGTGGCACCAGTAATGAACCCCTTTATTTACACCTTGAGGAATAAACAAGTGATACAAGCTTTAAAGACACATTCAAAAGGATTGCATTGATTTCAAGGCTGTAAGAGGCAGCTTATAGTCCTACTAAACTCCTTATATGATATAAACATGCTGCAGATACCTTAACTAGGAAGATCTAAAACAGAAAAAGAAAATGATAGCCTAATTTCCCTAATGAATGTCACTGCAAAAATTCTGAACAAAATGCTAGCAAGATGATTACAGCAATATATCACAAAGATTATACAATATAACCAGGTGGAATTTATAACAGGGCTTTATAACAGGAATGCAGGGCTTGTTCAATATTAGGAAAATTATTAACATGACTGACTATATCAATAATAAAACCAACAGAAGTAATATGATTATCTCAATGGATGCAAAAAAAAAGTTTATGATAAAATATAGTACCTTTTCCTATTTAAAGAAAATAGAGAACATAGGAATAAAGGCAATGTTTCTTAAAACAATAAGCATTATCTGTCTGAAAACATCAGCAAGCATTATGTGTAATGGGGATAAGGTAGAAGCCTTCCCAATAAGATCAGTGGTAAAGCAAGGATGAACATCATCACGATTACTAAATATATTTGTAAAAATGTTAGCTCTAGCAATAAGAAGAAAAAATAAATTGACTGAATTAGAATAAGCAATGAGAAAACAAAGTTATCACTCTTTGCAGATGATATGATGATATACTTATAGATCCCTAGAGAATCAACCAAAAAAAAATTCTTCAAATAAGTAACAACTTTAGCGAAGTTGTGGTATATAATATAAACCCACATAAACCATCAGCATTTCTAAATTTAATAAACAAAGCCCAACTGCAAGACATAAAAAGAGCTATTCCATTTAAAATAACTGTGAACAATATATAATACTTTGGAATCTACCTGCCAGCACAAACCTAGGAACAATATGAACACAACTGAAAACATTTTTTCACACAAAGTCAGATTTAAATAAGTGGGGAAAAAAATATTAATTGTTCCTGGATTTTCCAAGCCAATATATTAAAAATGAAAATTCTGTCTAAACTAATTTACTTATTCAATGCCATGTCAATCTAACTATCAAAATATTGTTTGATAGAGCTAGAAAAAAAATAACAAAATTCATCTGGAAGAATGAAAGTTTGAAAATATCATGGGAATTGATGCAAAAAAGTACAAAAGAATGTGGCTTATCAATATCAGATATAGTGTGGTGGATCAATGGAAAAGATTAAGTGCACAAGTAGGCAATGATCATAGTAGCCTAGTGCTTGAAAAACCCAAAGACCCCAGCATTTGGGATAAGAGCTCACTATTTGACAAAAACTTCTGGGAAAACTGGAAAACAGTTTTCTGGAAAACTGGCAAATAGCAGAAACTAGGTACAGACCAACATCTCACACCACATACCAAGATAAGGTCAAAATGGGTGCATGATTTAGACACAAAGGGTGACTCCATAAGCAAATTAGAATAGCAAAGAATATTCTAACTGTCAGATTCATGGGGAAGGGAAGAATTTATGACCAAACAAAAGACAGAGAACATTATGAAATACAAAATAGATAATTTTGATTATATTAAATGAAAAAAAGCTTTTGTACATTCAAAGCCAATGCAGCCAAAATTAAAAGGAAAGCAGACATCTGGGAAAACCTCTTTATAGAAAGTGTCTCTGATAAAAGCCTCATTTCTCAGATATATGTGTGTGTATATATATATATATGTATATATATATATATATGTTGTGTGTGTATGTATATATATGTATATATATGTATATATGTATATATGTATATATGTATATATATGTATATATATATGTATATATGTATGTATACATGTATATATGTATATATGTATGTATTTATATACACATAAGTACATACACATGCACACATATACATATGCATGTATGTATATGCATATACATATTTATGTATGTATGCAGAACTGAATAAAATTTATATGAATACAAGCCATTCCCCAATTGATAAATGGTCAAAGGATATGAACAGGCAATTTTCAGACAAAAAAATCAAAGCTATCTATAGTCATATAAAGAAATGCCCCAAATCACTTTTGTTTAGAGAAATGCAAATTAACATAACTGCGAGGTACCATCTCACACCTATCTAATTGACTAATATGACAAAAAATGAAAATGATAAATGTTAGAGAGGATGTGGGAAAATTTGGGACACTAAACCATTGCTAGTGGAGTTGTGAACTAATCAAACCATTCTGGAGAGCAATGTTGAATGATGCCCAGAGGGCAACCAAACTTTACACACCCTTTGATCCACTAGGTCTGCACCTCAAAGAGATCATGAAAAGGGAAAAGGACCATTTCCAAAAATATTTCTAGCAGCCCTTTTCATGATGGTAAAATATTGGAAATTGAGGGGATGCACAACAATTGGGGAATGGCTGAACAAGCTGTGATATATGAATGTGATGGAATTTTATTGTGCAATAAGAAATGACGAACAGATGGATTTCAGAAAAACCTGGAAAGATTTGTACAAACTGAGGCAGAGCCAGAACATTGTACATAGTATCAGCAACACTGTGCGATGATCAACCATGAATGACTCAGCTCTTCTCAGCAACACAATGATCCATAGCAAGTACAAGGAAATGAAGAAAAAAGCTATCCACATCCAGATAAAGAACTGATGGACTCTAAATGCAGATCAAGCTATATTATTTTCACTTACTTTATTCTTTTTTTGTGTTTTTTTTCTTTTAATCTATTTCTTTTTCCACAACTGTGACTAATATGGAAATATGCTTTACATGACAGCACATGTATAACCTATATCAAGTTGTTTACCATTTTTAGAAGAGAAGAAGGGAGGTACTGAGGGAGAAAAACTTGAAACTCAAAATCTAAAAAATTCTAGAAATGAATGCTAAAAATTATCTTGACATGCAATTGGGGAAAAAATAAAATGCTATTTTAAAAAGAAGCAATTGGCAACCAAGAATAAAATTAATAGAATACAACTGGAATAGCTTTGAACTCTTTGCTCTGGGTCCTATGACTATTTTATTTTCCTAGTAATGCCACCTTACCCACTAACCAAAATCTCTCAGCTCCTTATCTCTATTATCTAGAAATCTTCACTGATTGAGGTGTTACCCTCCTCATTCCTCTCTCTAAAGATTTCACTTGCTTTCAAACACCTCATTCACCACTTCATTTCTTTTTCTTTTTTCTTTTTCTTTTTTTTGGCTAGGCAATGGGGTTAAGTGACTTGCCCAGGGTCACACTCACCACTTCATTTCTATGAAATCCATGGAAGATTGTTTTAGAACCAAATATGTATAACACACTTATTATCAGAGAATTCCACAGCCCCTTACTTAATAGTAAATATTCATTTATTAAGTTCCTATTACATCCCAGGCACTGTGCCCCTTACTTAATAGTAAATATTCATTTATTAAGTTCCTATTACATCCCAGGCACTGTGCTAAGCACAAAGATACAGGCATGAAAAAGGAAAGATAAGCTTTTCCTCACAAAAAGTTAAAATCTAATTAGGAAGACAACATACAAAAGAAAGCTGAAAAGTGGAAGAGTGAGGAAAGGTTCCCTGCATGAAGGCATGGTGGAGAAGTCAGTCAGAGAAATCCCAAAGAAGTTCAGTCAGGTGAGAAATGAGGGAATGTTTGAGCTCAGCTCTGTCCTTAAATGGAGGTTTGGAGTTCCTAAATTCACCATCCAATCAATCAGAGGCAGAGAATAGTGATAAGGTAGACTAGCAAGACTGATGGAATGATGATGAAGTCTTTCCAATAATAAGCTTCCTGGGTCAGGTGGAGATATCCATCAGAGAATACTCAAAGTAGTTCAGTCAAGTGAGAAAACAATTTTACCTGGTGAACCATATTATAAAATATGAAAGCCCATATTCTAAGACCTCCTACCTGAACACTGAAAATAGCACCTCCACTAGGAAAGACTTTTTCTGATCCATGGCTTAGAGTTTTAAAGACTGCTAGGAGAGCAGTTAGTCAGTGGAGTGAGTGGAAAGAGTGCTGGGCCTGGAGTCAGGAAGACTCATCTTCCCCTTTAGAACATAGAGCCATCATGCTGCACATTGGTCTGACTTCTGAACAGGACAAAGAAAAGCAGAATTATAAAATGAGAATAAATGTTGGGTCTACAGAGGGGGAGTGAAGAGTGGGGAATAAATCCTATACTTCTTCACTAAAGGGCCTCTTTTAGTACTGGATTCAGGGATACACAGCCAGTTTCAGACTTGGGGGCAGTCTGGGAAGAAAAAGTAGGGTCACATTCTCTGACTTTTTTCATCCTTATACTATATCCATGGGGATATAGTAGGTTTGGCTCTTACGTACAATCTCCCAAAAAAGAGTCAAATAAAAAGGCAGCCAGTGTACTATATGAGTGTGTATAATATTGTGCATATATGTATAGTATAGGACAGCTATTTATTTGCATCATATAAAAGATTCACAAGCACACACAGACTGAAAAAAAACCTTAAACATGAAATAGTGGCTTATAACTACTAGTATACACTCCTGGAACACTGAGCTTGATATATACATACATATATATATATATATATATATATATATATATATATATATATTATATATATATACACATATATATATATATACATATATATGTATATATATATATATATACATATATATGTATATATATATGTATATATATGTATATATATATACATACATATATATATGTATATATGTATATATATATACATACATATATATATACATATATATATATACACACACACACACACATACATATATATATACATATATAATATATATACATATATAATATATATACATATATAATATATATATATATCACATATACATGTGTGTGTGTGTGTGTGAACTTATGGCTAATCACTTTGATCCAGACACTTCATACTATGATCACCAGATCTAGGGTCCAATAAGATGATTGTTTCCTGGTCTCCCAGGGGCATAGTCCTTTATCAGTGAGCCCACAAACATGGCCTACTGGTAGCAACCAAAGCAGCTCAGTGAGTGCTCCATGGGATAAAGTCCAATTAACTACATTAGTAGTGAACTATGAACTCGTGGTTCATACTGTCATTTGTTCCTTTAAGTGCTTCTCTGAGCTAAATTTGGAGCAGGAGAGTCAGCATCTTTCAGCTTTGCTCTCAGACAAGAGATATACTGATTGTAGGCATCTACAGCCACTTCATCCTTAGAGACATCAAAGCACAGGTCAAAGGGTAGGTGTGGTTCTCACCTAAACAACTGAAGGTCTTCTTAGGGCAAACTCTGTGCTATTCCTTACCCAGGATACCCCATTTCCCAACTCTGACTTTGTGCTGAGATTCCCCCAAGCCTGGACCACATTGCCTCCCACACCTCCATCTATTAGATTCTGTAGATACTGCTCAAATCCCACCTTTATTAAGAAGTCTTTTCTGCTCTTTTCTCAACTTCCATACCTAAGTGCCTTTCCTCTGAGATTACCTTCCGCCTACTCTTCATATCTCTTATATGTACAGTGATTTAAATATTGTCTCCTCCACTAAAATGTCTTTTAGGGCGAGGAAAATGTTTTTGTCCTCTTTTGTAAGCCAGACTTAAGACTAGTGTTTGATTTAATAAATTAATAATTAATTAATAATTAATAATTAATAAATAAATAAAAGCATTTAATAAATGGTAGTTGACTAACTGAATTCCTAATACACTCATAAAATAGTACATTACATTACATGTCTAAATGTATATACACATATATATGTATACATACACACATATGTATATATATGAAGAGAGAGAGAGCATACTCAGTTTTTTAACTGATGAAGGTACAGGATCAAATAATTTTGGAGGCCATTATCTTAGACATGTGGGAAGGAACAATGAGAAGTCACTTTTCCTCCATCACCCGACTCACTGATGTATATCAAGCCTATGTCTGATGCTATTGCTACTTCTTCCATTCCTTGTGGGTACTGGCCCCACAGCTGCCTATTTTATGTCTTTTTCCAAATTTGATTACAATAGAGATTAATTAGTGATTTTTGAACTTGCATTGGCCAAGGGTCCCTTTGTTTGTTAACTCAGTCAGTCCCCATGCACCAGCAGCACATTGGACAGATGAAACAAATATCCTCTGCTGTTAGTGTACAATTTGTATGGAAACTTTTCTCCCTGCCTAGACTGGTCAGATCAGGGGATCTAAAGAAAGGCAGAACCTGAGAAGCCATTCTCTTTCCAATGATTCTGTCTTTCTTTCAGCAAGATACAGAACAACAAAATTTTTCCTGCATTTAAAGCAGGACAGGATCTCTGATGCAGGATCATTCTAAAGCCGGTAAAGAGAGAGAAGATTGATGTATTCTATAAGATGGGAACCTAGAAGAACTCAATTCTTCCTGATAAGTTGAGGTCATGGGTTTGTGAGATAATGTAGCCAGCAGGAAATGTATGCTTTTCTATTAATTTGTTGGTGCTCAAGTTTGAGGCATTCCGGGGACTTTTGGGCAAAAAATTGCTTGCTGAGACCTGAAGTACAGGCAGGAAAGTAAGTAAGATAATGGCTTATCGTATCAATACTTATCCCTTTTTTTTTTAGCTGTGGGGATACATGTGGCTGATTCCATATTACAGGAACAAAGAAAGCAGACATGTCAAAAGAAAGAAAGAAAGCCTAGCAATTACAATATACGTTTCAGACATAAAATGAGTGCTCATTTCTGAGATGCTACTTTTATTCTGTTTCACATGACCTTTGCCATATACTCTTTGGTGAGAGTATTTTCATAGGGTCAGCTTCATAGCTACATGGATTACACACTGGTCTTTGTAATCTGAGGGGTACACGAAAGCCTCCCACCAAAAGCTACCTCCCCACTCTCATGCTGCACACTTCCTAAAATTTTACAATTGGAGATGTTTTCTTTGAATGAACAAGCTTCCTCACTGAATAAATAAGCATGCCTTAAAGGATTAAAACATAAAGTAATTGGTTAGTAGCACAAAAGAATTAATTACCTAAAAGATCATTTTTAGCCTAGCTAAAAATGTATACGCTATCTTGAAAACAGAGCTTAGAGAGAAAGAAGTAAGGGAGGGAGGAGGGTAAGGTAACTTTGAAAATGGGGCATTTACTACCCACGGAGGGGGAAAATGGGATAGGGTCCACAGTGGGCAGTGTGAGGTCACTAGGCTCCTGGGGATAGGGCTTACAGAAAGAAGGGGTAGACAGGTCCAGAGATAAGCCTCTTAGAGGCTACAGCTTTCACAAAGGTGGTCTCTATGTGATCTTCCTTTGAGGCATTAGTGATGGGGGATATTTCATCTTTCATCTAATTATGGCTCTAGTTAACCTAGGTCAGAGCACCTTGCTTGTGAGGGTGCCTTTAACATTGGATCCTGCATTATATGACGTGGGCATTTAGCCCAAAGTGACCCAAACCATGTTAGCTGCCAGAGTGATGCTCCATTTCAATATATTGGATAATATATTACAACACCCAAGAAATCCTCTCCAATAACTAAAGAACAAGCTTATTCCAAAGCAGAAATGAAAAAAAAAATTAACTTAAGTGTAGATTGGAAGTATTTGTTTAATTACTGAATATCATTAATTAGTGATTATTGAAAATCAATTGTGGAGCACAGTGGATAGAGCACTGGCCCTGGAGTCAAAAGGACCTGAGTTGAAATCCAGCCTCAGACACTTACTAGCTGTGTGACCTTGGGCAAGTCACTTTGCCTTGATTACCTCAAAATAGAAAAAAAAAAGAAGAAAAGAAAGAAAAAGAAGAAAACAATTGTGACCAGGTTCTACCCAAAACTGAGGGAAATTTTGAACAGAGGCAACATCAAGAAAAATGCAAAATCATTAGTGAGTAGTGATGCCTGACTAACTCTGTGGCCAATTGCAATGCCAACAGCAATGAGACAGATAAGCCCATTCTGCCTGACAACAAATTATCAGGTGGAGTGACCCAAACCACAGGAATTAGGGCACGCTTCCATAATATCTTTTGGTATCATCACACAGGCCATCCCCCAAAACCATGGAGGGAAAAAAGAGAAATCTGTGCTTAGCACAGACAAAAGGTCTATTTAAAAATCCAACAAATACTATGGATGTTCTAGAATGAAATCTAGTATCTGTATCTGAGATATTCTTTGGAATTAAATGAACATTGGTTTCTGCCATTTGACGGAAGCTGGGATAGGCTTAGAACCTCATAAATAGGCGAGTTACCTGTGTGATCTCAGTGGTACAGGGAGTTTTCTCCTTTATCATGTATTACACATTTCTTGAGCTTCCTCTATTATCTTTATTTCTTTTGAATGAAATTTTCTTTACTGAAAAAGGAAAGCAACCCCGAGAGAGCTGACACATGAAGATGCAATTTTTCAAGCCTGAGAGTATAAGTTACTGAAAGGAAGGGCATACTCTTGGAGGAAGAAGGAAGGGCAAAACTTGGCAGAGAAGAAAGAATTATTTAAGGTGGCACAGAGGGCCCTAGGGGTCAAAGGAGGGAATTTGTCAGCAAGACAAAGTCAAAGACAAGTTTCTACTAGGCAAAAATTTGCAATCATCATAAAAATGCTATAAAACATAAAATAAAAGAAATTCAAATTAAAACAACTCATTAAACTCTGAAGTTTTACCTCACAATGCTCATATATTGGCAAAGGTCAAAAATAGATGAAACTGCAGAATTTTGAAGGGATCTGGAAAAACCAAGTACACTAATGTATGATAGTTAGAAGTAAATATTGGTCAAAAGGATCCGCTAAACAATTTGAAATTTTCTGACAAAAGTGATGAA